ACGGTGAAATAGCTTAACTTTTAAACAAATTAGATTTTTTTTTGACAGAAAAGGATAAAAACAACGTACAAAATCACTATTTAACTAAAGAACAACTCACTAAATTAAATATATTAGCAAGTGTCCTTCTATTTTTTTTACGCATCGGAAATTATATATACTAATTTTATTATTAATTTTAGTAGTAGATGTTTAATTTTTGCCTAAAATGAAAAAAAAGGGTCATTAAACTAAATCTGCATAAATATCTGGTAGTTAGGAGAAAATAAGAGATATTAATTGGCAAAAAAACACTGTCCTTCTATTTTTTTTTTTACGCAGTGTATAGTCACCCTGTATATCAGAAGAATGCGTAATATTTTTACTGTCGGATTACCTTAAATCTGCTGTATGTATTCACTTCGGAAGCATATATACTAAAATTGGAATGATACAGAGTTAAATCTGTTGCATATGTTGATGGAGTTAAAAACCCGTGTTCCTTGAAAGAGGACATAAGACGGGCTGTTGCAAATAGGGAAAATTAATTTACAGGAAAAGTAAAACAACAGGGAAATTTTAATTCCAAACAGGTTAGAGTCCCGCCGGTGCCATGGATGTTTGTAGTGATTCGGAAACCACGTTAAGCCGTAGATCCCGGTCTAATAGAGTGTTGTTCGTTTACCAATGACTGACACATTGAGGTTACCAATGAAGGATTGAAAATTGAATCATTGAAGTTACCACACAGTTGTTTAAAAATATTGAAGAATAGAAACATTGAAATTACCGTGCAGCTGTTTAAAAATAAATATTGTATAGAAACATTGATGTTACCAATGAAGTATTGAAATATTGAAGTTACCATTGAAGAATTGAAACATTGAAGCTAACCATTGAAGAATAGGAACATTGAAGTTATAAATGAAGAATTGAAACATTGAAGTTACCATGCAGTTGTTTAAAAACGTTGAAGCTAACCATTGAAGAATAGAAACATTGAAGTTACCAATGAAGTATTGAAACATTGAAGTTACCGTGCAGCTGTTTAAAAACATTGAAAATAACCATTGAAGAATAGAAACATTGATGTTATCATACAGCTGTTTAAAAATATTTAAATTACCATTGAAGAATTAAAACATTGAAGTTACCATACAGTTGTTTAAAAACATTGAAGAATGGAAACATTGAAGCTAACCATTGAAGAATAGAAACATTGAAGTTACCAATGAATAATTGAAACATTGAAGTCACCGCTGCTGCTGTTGCTGCAAGTTGAAGCCGCTTAAAAACATTGAAGTTACCAAATTATTAAGAAAGCTTAATGCTTTTACCATCTAAGAAAGGTAAAAGCATTTTTGCATGAAAAACAACATTCGTTGATAAACAGGAAAGAAATGATCTTGCAGTATGACATTACACTGCAAAAGTCTCTTAGAAGAATTGGCGGAGAATTGATGTACCTACCTATCTACCCTATGGTCCTGCCTTTGCTCCAACAGATTACTATATATTTAGAGGATTAACAAAATCTCTCTGTATAAATATATTTTTTTGGCTTGGTATTCAGCTTTACTTCATTCGAAAGTAGGCATAAAATTTTCCTTACAACATCATTACAAAAAAAAAAAACGTCTAGAAAAGCTGTACAATTTAATGAAGAACTTTTCTCGACATGATAGTTACTTCCTGGTCTGTTCATCTCTGTATAAATAGCATGCGAGTCATTCTATTGTTTTCTAACTGCAGTTATTTAGAAAATGTAGAACGAAAATGCCGCGGGATAAAATTTCCATTTATCATTCAACAGATGTTCCTCTGATTGTGATGTATTTCAAAAAAAAGGAAATGCAATTTGTCTGTCACCAGAAATGATGTATATTGTCAACTAGAATTGTTCGTATTTAGATGACTATTTTATTTTCGATAATTATTATATTTTAATTGACCTTGATCCTATAATTGTTCGTTTAATTTATGTTAATTTCATGTCTATAGACATTTTAATCCAGCTATCAATCAAAACTTAAACAGTATTTTTTTTTTATATTAACGAATACAAATTACCATAATTTTCATATTGTATTGGACAGGGATGGCCATGTATAAAAGACAGCACAGGGATATATTTTAAAAAGCCGTCGCCTTATTATATATAAATGTTAACTTTAAAAAGTCATGTAATAAAAGTTTTTTTTGAAATCCTGCAATTTTAATGAATGATTATAATAGTGAACATGATTACACTGTAGTTTAATAAAAAAAAAAAAAAAAATGACTCGTGACTCATTGGGAAAGTGCGCCGCTGGTGAGCATTAAGGTTGAGGTTCAATACGCTGTTGGCATTATTGTAGATACTGTTTTACAAAAATGAGAAGTCCCGATGGCGTTTACGATGTTCAGCATTTCGCCTCGATAGTCAGACTATTTGGTTGGTGATTTTCGGGTTTTTTTTTTATACCATACGCAAATGCGCGGTAATTCCCTCTAAAAGTTTTCCCTGTAGGCACTACCTCCTTCAGTGTCACGGAGCCAAGTCAGACTTCTACCTATGGGTGTTCCATCAACAATAGAAGCTGCCCCTTTCCCTCCAACCAAGAGTAGTCTACTCATAGAGGAGGTTAAATTATCTAATTATTATTCATTAAATTATCTAATCAGTGTCCGTCCCGCACTGCAGACACTGAGGGTTAGACACAACACAACATAAAAAAAAATATCAGAAAAATTGGGATTTTTTTTTTTGACGCGCCATTGGCATAATTAGGATGGCTGATGTGTCGCCAAGTGAATTAAACAGGCATTGAAACGATACTGTGTAATGGGTTACCTTTATTTTTTTAATTAATTTTTTGTGACAGTTGAATGCGTCATTTCTAAACTGATAAATAGTACACAGTATCCACATGAAGCCTCCCTGTTTTCAAATGCTAATTGTACGGAAACTATCAGTCCAAGATTGGTATTGCAAGATTGCCACGCTATTTGCGTTATCATGAACACAGGTTTCGGGTTCGAGTCCCGGCGGTGCCAGGGATGTTTGTAGTGGTTCGAATCCACTTTAAGCCGTATGTCCCGGTCTCATATGACTGTAGAGTTGGGCGTAGAGCTGACAACCCTACCCTGTAAAAAGAAAAACATTTCTCGTCTCGAAATCTACCAATAGGTAGATGGCCTTGACCCACACTGGGCTGTTGCGCCAATGATGATGACGATGATGTTATCATGAATAGCAACACAACAAGTTTATTTTGCTGTAAACTTTTTTTTTCCCTCGAAAAAGTTAATTTTTGTCGCATGCATGTTCGATATGCCAAAACCCCAAAACTTTGCTATTTAAATTCCGAACCGGATCGACAACTCCTAGTATTACCTAGAGAATGTGATATTCAGTGACGACTCAACTTTCCCCACAACTGGAACGATTGAATGTCACAACGTTCGTATCTTGTGTTCAGAACAGTCTAACGTTGTTTAGGAACATGACAGAGACAGTTTGTGGTGTGATCTGATGCTTCACAGAATCGTGGGACCATTTTTCTTTATGGAAAGAACCGTAAATGGTCTCATTTATCTTGACATGCTTGGACAGTTTATTTTTTCACAGCTGCTCTCTTTGTAGATATTCCAGCAGAAAGCGCCCCATCGAACTGGAGTTGAGACGTTTGTCAGTTATTAGACGAAACATTTTCTCAGCGATGGATCGGACCAGGTAGACCCTCTGATTGGCCACCGCGATCCCCAGACTTATCACTTTTTCCTGTGGGACTATGTCAAAGATATGGTCTAGGCTGCATCTGTACGTGGTGCTTGTACACAAAATTACAAAAAGCCATTAATTCAGTCACATGCTGCGTAACATATGGACTAAAATTGAATAGCGACATATGTTGCACAGCATGTGATTGAATTAATGGCTTCAACTAATGAATGAATTAATTAATGGCTTCAATAATTAATTAATTAATTAATGGCTTAAGTAATGAATTTGGCTTAATTAATTGACATTCTAAAAGTTACCTTACAAAGAACATATCAAAGTGCATACACAGACGAAAATAAACGTTTGCAGGAAATTAAACTTGTTGTGTTGCTGTTCATGATACAGCAAAACGCATATTTCTAGGACTCATAGTTTCCATACAACTAACATTTGAACTAACATAACAGGCTTCACGTGGACATTCTGTATATCGTTTATAAAATTTCAACAATTTCTTCTAAATTATTTTTTACATATTATTTTCACCTTTGCTAGAAGAAACAACTATTTAATTTAAAGCGCATTTTTTTTAATATTCCCAAGCAATAATTAAAAAGCATAATTTTCATTTTAAAATAACAAACAAACGGACAAATGCTTCTTTCGTGATATTGAATGTAAAAACCAACAACTAAATGATATATATTAACGAGAATTTCCAACTGCTCATTCGTATAATAATACATCTATAGTTTATACCTGATTGTGATGTTAGCCAAATTTAAGCACGGAGAGTGCCGCTTTACGATACGAGAAGCGGCGAGCCCGAACGAATACTCGTATCGTTAAACCCAGGGAAGACCGAGCAAAGGAGTAACTAGGTCATTCAAATTAAGGTGACACTGATTATATATTAAATGGTTATCTAACAGAAGCAATAATTGTTAGAGATTCGAAGTTGCGCTTTTATAGAATCCCATTTAATCACTTATACAAAGTTTTACCCGTACCGTACAACCTAAGACAGACAGAGTGTGTTGTTGTTTCTTATCCCACTTGGCTGGCCAAGCCCACGAGCCCATACGTACTCATGATGGAAGGGGAAGGAAGCAGCTTCTGTTGTGATGGAGCACAAGTCTGACTTTGGCTCCGTGACGCTCTTAAAGTCATAGGAGACCGGGACCTACGGCTTAAAGTGGATTCCGAACCACTACAAACATCCATGGCACCACAGGGATTCGAACCCGAAACCTGTGGCACCGAGCGTCAGAGAGCTAGAACACTCGGCCATTCAGGTTCCAAATTTGTGAATGTCAACGGCACGCGGTGCTCCAAGGTGGTCACCCACCCAAGTACTGACCGCGCCCAATGATGCTTGACTTCGGTGATCTAACGAGAACCGGTATATTCAGCATGGTATGGCCGTTGGCTAGATATAGTGTAACGAGGTATAGCATTGACACGATTTTTCGCCAAACTGTTTCAAAAAGCGCCAAAGGATGCCCAGGCAGCTATAAAAGAAAAATACCGGAAAGTACTTTATTTAGTGCATTCTAATTTATTCCAAACTGCACTATATGCATTACTTTTGATATCCGAATTAAAATTTTAAATATTATGACTAGTTTTTCTTTATTTTTTGAGCTATTATATATAATTCGATCACCGATTGTTTGAAAATTTGCCAAGCTACTATGTCTGACAGATTCAAACGGAGAGGCATAATAGGGCAGAAAAGTATTTCCAGTGGCCCACACAATCGGCGGTAGAACTATATGCGCATCGTTAATGTATTAAAATTTGAGATGCTTAGTATTGATATTTATACTAAGCCATTTGTTGTTAGGAAACAAATAAAGGGAAACAATTAGCTACATAATTTTTTAAAACTTGAATAAAAAACATTAAAAAAATCTTTTTAATGGATAATATATATATATATATATATATATATTTATTACATAAGAAAAGTGATTGAAATTTTTAATTTAACTATAATGAACCGAATCAAAATTAAAGCTTCCGTGAATACGATAGGGATGAACGTGATACATCCGAGGGTCAGAAAGCTCTTATGTAGGTTTCGGAGAGAATAAAGAGTGTGCGAACTTCTCAGGTGGCATCCTTAGCGGTATTACATAAAAATTGCCATAACAAACATAAGGATGCATTGCAGCAGGACCTAGTGATGTATCGTGGATAACGTTGAATCTGTTACACATTTGCTGTTCAATTTGTGAATGACTTAAAAAGTGCCCGGCATTAGTAAATATCAATAATAACATTCACATGAACAAATTTAATAAGACGATGTAAAAATGGAAATAATCACGATAATAATTCTTCTACAGAAAAACCGATATTTTATTTTGTAGTACTCATAAATATCAACATAGAGAAAAAATACCAAAAGAATCATTCAAATGAAAAAAAATGATTGAGAGAAGTGCTTCAATAAATATAAATCTAGCAGAACAAAAAAGAAAAAAAATTGTAAACTGCGGGGCCTAGATACAGGTTGCACATAAAATTTAGCATTTAATGTAAGAACAAAACATATAACAGCATTCATAAAAACTATAGAATTCCAGACAATTTTCTTTTCTTGAAAAACCCCATTTTCACTTTGAAATATAATTGTCGCTGTTTTCACAAGACGACCCCACCCCTTAGGACAATTTTACATTAGTTTTCTACTGAATTAATTTTTTTATTAAATTATTTAATAATTACTCAATTATTTTGTAAATAAATATTATGCATAAAAAAGCTTGTGAAAGAAATTTAAAACCAAATTTTAAAGCGATAGAGAACACGAAAAACTCCGGCTCCCAAAACAATACTCATAAATTTTATGGGTAAAAATTAAAAAATAAATAAATAAATAAAAACATGCGACAAAATGTAAAAACAAAAAACATCACGTGAAAGAATTAAAAAAAAAAAAAAAATGCTCGTGAAAAAATTAAAAATCAAAAAACAGCACGCGAAAACCTCGTGAAAAAATTTAAAAACCAAAAACAGCACGCGAAAAACCTCGTGAAAATAATTTAAAAACAATAAACAACACGTGAAAGAAATTTAAACAAGTTGAAATTGATCAAGGACATAAAAAACCTCCCTTCCCAAAACAACACCCAGATACTTTATGGGTAGAAATATATATTAGAAAACGAAAATGGAAATAAATAAAAAATACAATCAGTAATTGGACTTTGTAGTCACACATTTAAAATTTTATTTCACCATGCCATTAAAATAACAAAAACAAAGTTCAAATAACAAAATAAATAAATAAAATATTTAACAATAGAAGTAAAATATTTTTACTAAAAAAAAAAAAAAAGTAGTGATAACATATATTTACCAATTCTGTAAATAGACCGATGTAAAAAGAAACGCTTTCCAATTCTCCTATTTTTTCCTTTTTAGATATTTGGACTTCATCGATTACAGTTTTAACATTGCTAAAGACCCTATCCACTTCATACAAAAGTAACAATTTTTTAAAAAAAAAAAAATTTAGATGGTGTTTATAAGAGATAAATAATCAATTTCCGGGAAATGGTTACGTTTCCGGAATCTAAGAATGATTTCACTTCCGTCAGGAAATGGGGAAATTTAAACAATATATTTTATAAATTATACATTGGCAGGAAATTCAATTTCTTTTTTAAACATTTAATTGATATTAAAAAAAAAAAAGTTTAAAGCTTGTGAATAAGTGCAAACACAAAATTTACTTAAAAACAAATTTGAATATCTCGTTTTAAAATTTATTTTCTATATATTTATTTTAAACAACTGCAATCTGTCAAATGACAATGCAATTATGTCAGAGCCCATGAGCGATTAATCCCAAAATCATAATCTACTGGGAAAAAAAATGTACGTACTTTTTTAAAAAACAAAATGACTAATCAAAAATGAATACAATAAAAAATTAATATTATATAAAATTTTAATTAAAAAAAGTCAACTATCGTACAAAAACTTTTTATTCTTTCTAAATGAATTAATGTTATTTACAAAAACAACAAAAATAAAAATGAATTGATAAAAGTAACAATAGTAAGATATTAGTAAGTAATAAATAGTAAGATATTTTTTAAAGAGCTAACAGTCAAGAGCAAATTATTATCTGTTCACCGAATTATTTATGAACGAAATAGTTCAAAAAGTGCAATTTTGTTTTTTCAAAATTCTTTTTCATTAATTTTAAATATCAATAATGTTTAACAGTTGTTCAAAAGATAGGTGTTCAATATATTATACAAACCAATCATTTCCAGTCCCTCATAAGTAGTTAAAACTTTAATATTGTTGTAATATACTAATTTTACGCAAAATAATTATTCTTATTTAATTAAAAAAAAACTAATTAGCTAGGTTTTTTTTCGTAATTTTTGGCTATACACGAGATACAAAAATTAATAAATTCAAAGATACAAACTGGACTTCAATAAGTGCTACAGATTTTAACTTTTAGAAAATATAAGCAGTCTTAAGTTATATACAGCGATATTATTAGTTCTAAATAATAATAATATTTGTCAATAATTTCATATAACCTTCCAAAAAAAAAAAAAAACATTCTAATTTTCCTTCATTTTCAAATGGCATGTTTTATCAGTTTATTTTATTTTTTATTAGTAAAATATTCCTTTTAAACCTTATTAAAAAATTAGTTTTATTATTTGTAACTAACTACTATATAAGGTAATCACTAATTGTGATCAACTTATAAAAGTGGTTATTACATTTCCCTTTAAAACTATATTTTAAAAATTTAATCAGATTTTGTTTTGAATTAACCAACATCCAATAAGATCTTTAATTAAAATTTAACTTATTTGCTGCAAAAATAATTTAGTTTAAAATTTTTGTAAAAAATAATTTTGGCAGAAGTGAAACAATACGAGATAAAAATAATAAAAAATGCATTACAATTTTTAACCAAACTTCCGAATTTAAAATTTAGAAAATGGCATTAAATATATTCTCTTGTTTATTCATATGATTCATCAAAGTAGTGATGTAAAAAAATGACAAATCATGAAGAAATTTAATATGAAAAACGTGAACATTCTTATCAACATGAAAAAATCTAAAATAAATCCTTTCCATCTATTGGTGGCGCCATCTATTGTGATAATATGAATCTAACACAAAAATGGGCACATAATACGAAATAAAAATTTTCTTTTTTTTTTTTTTTTAAAAACCTAAATGCAATTCTGAGGGAAAATGAAAAAAAGAAAATTCAGTAAATAATTTATGAATCTAGCTTACCTGATGCAGATGATGATGATGATGTTGTTGAAGAGTTTGATGAATTTGTACCAAGTTTCTGAAAAGGATGAAAATTATCAACAAATATTCCAAAAATAAATTCAGTAAGTAAAAAAATACTAATTTAGTAAAATCTATTATTTCTTTTTAAATTTTAAATCTGACATATAATAAAAACATCCAGAAGATATTTTTATTAAGATGCAAAATTTTATTTTTATATTTAAGTTATGCAATAGAAATTAAGTGAAGTTGTCCATATATTATATAAACTATTTATAAAAATTTTAATTTTAATTATGCATCCAAAAAATTATATTCAAATAAATGCATGAACTGTTGCAATTAAAAATCACATCAGCTGTCAGAAATTAACATAAAAAATTGAAAAATAAATTTATCTCTTATTAACTAAAGAAACTTTAATAAACTCCTTTTAAAAAAATATTTTGTATCTTCAAATAAATAACATTCTTATGTTGTATATACATATTTTGTTAATTTTTATTATAGCATAATGATTTACTTGGAATAATTTTTACATTCAAACTATAAACTATAGTGCAAAGTATTTTTTAAACACTAACAAAACAAACATTATTTGATGCCATTTCATCCATTAGGAAATAATTTTAATAACAATGTAAATTTTTTATAGTAAATTTCGTCTTATAAATAAGTCTAATTTTTAATATTCATTTAAATCAATAGATATTGAATAGGATGTACTATTCTTAAATTATAAGCATGAAGAGATTTTTGTATCTTTGGGTGATACAGAAGTAAGCCCAGAAAACTCCAACCAAGCAGTGATTGCCGATGCTAGACGCTTATATGTATTCTCACAATCACCATACAGTTTGCTCGCTTCCTCAAATCAGAGACTGCAATGCACACGCGAACTTGGCATTCATTTAAATACCATATTTTTTAATATTATTTTCAACTAAACCTATCAAACACAAATGGCTTCGGTAATACATTGTTCTATGCAGAGCTTTTATAAATGTAGATGGAATTTTATTGATAAGTTAGAATAACAACTTATTACTTGAGGGGGAAAAAATTGCACTTAAAAAAACAGTAGAAAATAGGTTATGGAAATAGGCTTCTTTATGTAATATATCTTTGGGAT